TGACAAATATATATCTAATCTATCTAATTATTAGATGCAGTAAGACATAGATGATGGTGATAAAAATGATACATACTACTACTACTACTAATAATAATAATAATGATATTCATATTGTTTTTGTACTAATTACATCAATAATAATAACTTCTCGATATTCATCAAATTTTTATCTAATATAGTATTGTATCTAAAAATTAGGTAGAATAGATAAATATTTGTAAAAATGAGTTTATAATTCATATAAATAAAATATAAGAAATTGCATTCCTGAAAAACTTTCAATTTAAATATGAGAAAAATTGCGTAAAAAATGATATCTCAGAAACAAAGGCACAAGAGATAAATCCTCTTTAGATTTTTAATACCTCATTGAGGTTTACTTACGGCCAAAAGATGGGATCTAAACGGCTTGAACGCCTTGGTATGTTCCCTCGTAAGAAAACATTAGTTATAAAAGTAGAGTAAGTAGACAAATTGAAAACCAACGTTAGTATAGTTATACATTTCAGTGCACGAACTATACTTTTTTCTGAAAACTTAAGATTTCTCTATCTAGCTTGACTTGAGATCCTTTGAAGTACGTCACTATTAACTTTAGATAAGTTGACTTTGTAGCTAATAGAATTCACATCTAATAAGAATAACACTAAGTTGCTCATTTCAACTAAGTACTTAAGCTGAAATATAGGTTATAGTTCAGTATTTTCTATACATTGTTATTGAGTGCAAGTATGATGAATTTGTTTCCGTGATCGAAATCTTCTTAAGTTTCATTCGTTTGAAGAGAAATATCCAACTAAACAGTTCAATGTTGAAGATATGTTCTAATAAAATGCTTACACAAGTCTTGTTATTATCAAAAATTATTTCATACTAGATAGGACAATCAATCATGAAGTACAATAAGTTTTTCTTTTGTCGATATCTCAAAATTCAAACTATTGTAGTCTTATCGTTTCTGTCACGCTATAATCAATACATGCAGCACTACAAAGGTTTTTTTCGTCCGACTGTCTTAAAAGACGTATTTTGAGCGAAATAATTCTAACATAATGCTTAGACATATTTAGACTCATCTACATAATTTCAGCTTTAGAAGTCTTGCCTTTCGTTGTATTTTCTACTTTAACATTGAATTGTCATGAGAACATTTTCGAAATATGATTTGACATGCCTAATAAATTGACGTAACTTATAAGGAAAGCCATATCCATTTAATATGTGCATGATGGAACTCAGCTCTTGCAGATTGTATACTAATCAATTTGTTTTATTACTTTCGGCAGTAATTTCAGCATCGAAGATGCAGCCCTATCAGATCACTCTCAAGCTACTGAAACCGAAGAAAATTTTAGTGCTATTCTGACAATAATTGACGATTATTCTCATTGAACATACGAATCGATAGTAGATACTCTGAGCAGCATTGCTATAGCAATTATTTCAATTAATTTGATCTCTTTAAAGTTTTCTAAACTTGCATTCTTGATGAACGCATTTTTAGCTTATTGATGACTGAAGATAGTTCCATGTTCAATTGTACCGTCATTTATCCAAGAAATTTGGAGGAACTAATTTCATCTTGCATTCTGCATTATCAATAGTGACAAAATTACATTTTTATCATAATGATTAAAATGTAACAGAGTAATCGAAAAGTGGAGGCTTACAACGTAATCCATACATAGTGAAGGCTCATCAAAAAAACAACATAGATCAGCGAGTCGCATTAATTTTTTAGGACATCTAGTTTAATTAAGTCCACCTTTTTAGGATTTAGTAAACGGAAGTTAGCTTATTAATAACTGCCTAATACATATTTTCAAAACTGCACAATAACTTGATACAAAGACAATCTTTTGCGGTCTCAGTTTTCACTATGAAAATGCAAGACCACAGAGAGTCTGAGTTACAGAGGAATTTTGAGCAGAAAATCATACTGAATCACATCCAAAGCCAAAATAATCTTTAGATCTAAACTCGCTTGCCTTCCAAAATTAAAATACGAACTGCATGAAGTTGGACTCGATAACAAAAAGACAATGCTAAATGTGTTAACACTAGTCATTATCCTCCTCATCCAAGATAATCTTAAAAAATGCTTCTGTTATCTAGTTTAATCGAACGCACAAGTACATTGTTGCTGATAGATAATACCTTGAAAAACCACACTAAAACAAGCTTTTGAATATTTGTCAAAGGGCTGCCGAACAAACTTTTGTAGCATCCATAGACATGTCTAGCACATGTATGGATTTAAAATTGTAGCGAGGACAGCCACAACTAGTTCAAATTCTGGTATATTGACAAAAGACAAACTATTATAGTTTATGATTAGTTTTCCTACCCATTACAAAATATTTGTAGTGATAACAAGATTTTCGAAAGCATCTTACTAGAAAGTACCTTAAATATTGAACTGTTTAGTTCGGTATGCCTCTTCAGACGAATGATACTTAACAAGATATCGATCATTGAAATAAGATGATTATACTTGCGGTCAATAACATCTTTGCCAAATGCTGAACAATAATGCATATATATCGGCTTACCATTTAACGCTTTTTTAGATAAATAATCCCACTAAGAATCATCAGACATCTACTAATTCCACAAAAAAAGACGACTTACAAATTCACAACGTGCTAAAACACATTAATTTAGCGAAATTTCAACTGCTTTCAAGGTTTACGTTGTAAAATATTCGCTCGTGGAATCGTTGAAGTTTTAATTAACTTTTTTGTCATACGACTTCATTACGTTGGGAAGTCTTTTTAAAACGGATCAAAATTGAAAAACGACTGTTCTCCTTTACACACATCATTCCTAACGTCGAACCAGACAAATCACATGATACTCCACTATGCAGCATTGATGGATTCACTATCAGACAACAGACAACTACGAGAAAACAAGATTTGCAACAGGATGCACCAAAAATTCTACGACAATAACTTCTGAATACTAGGTTTTCAAAGTCAACAACAATCAATCAAATATCATTTTGTATTCATTTTATTAAACATGCGCATAGAACCCAAATAAATTCTATTTCAACTTAATTAAATTTAGTCAGAAAATCGAAAAGTGGATTCACTTTAAGTAGTTGATAATATTAATTTGCAATCAAAATTATAACTTGGGTTCAGAGTTATGACCGAAGTTAGATTCATTTTAACGTTTTCTCCTTTTTTCTAAACTAGAGACTTTTCAAAACATAGTTTTCCACTCCTGTACTGATCTCCATCTCAGCCATACAAGTCATTGTCTTCTGCATCACATCGATAATTTTTCGAAATCGTTCTCGAAATTTTACTCTCACATTCAGCGATGTAATGGGATGGAGTTTTTTTCTCATGCATCACGGATCTTTAGTGAAACCAGTTAAATGGATCTATCTATTTATTTCTAAACGTAGCCTGAATAAAATACAAAGGAAGAAAAAAACTAAATGAAGCAAAAAGAAAAAAGAATAGAAGTGGCAATGGTTTAAAGTTTCTTTTTTTCGACTGTCGACAATCTTGTTCTGTCAAACTAGGGTCTAAAGAAATCGAATTGTTTGCCGTTGACTTGGTATGGTCCAAATGAACGGTTAGGTAATGGTCGCGAATCGCGATCAAGTGGATAACTACCGAGACGATAATATTCGAATTTCAATGATCCTTGCACATCTTTACCATTTCTTGTGAAAGTCAAAACATAATAATTAAAGGATAATGTACTTGGAGTGGAACTACCAGGAACCTGATGATTATAATTAGCAGTGCGGATTTGAATTCGATTTCTTCCAACACATCTCCATTCTCCAAGCTGAGAAGTGAATGGTTGACTTTCAATTCCTGGTGCTGGACTCATATTATTTTCTCCATTGTCAATTATATTAACTGTGTGGTCTTTATGAAGCGTGAATAATTCGTAGCCATCGCCAACGCCAACGCCAAAGCGTATTTTGATTTGATATGTTTCGCCGCAAAAGTCGTCACATTGATGATTTCCACGGCCTGAACCTCCATTGCCTGGACCTCCGTGGCCTGGACCTCCGTGGCCTGGACCTCCGTGGCCTGGACCTCCGTGGCCTGGACCTCCATGGCCTGGGCCTCCATTGCCTGGACCTCCATGGCCTGGACCTCCATGGCCTGGACCTCCATGGCCAGGACCTCCGTGGCCTGGACCTCCATGGCCAGGGCCTTCATTGCCTGGACCTCCATGGCCAGGGCCTCCATTGCCTGGACCTCCATTTCCTGGGCCTCCATTGCCTGGACCTCCGTGGCCTGGACCTCCATGGCCAGGGCCTCCATTGCCTGGGCCTCCATTTCCTGGACCTCCGTTGCCTGGACCTCCATGGCCTGGACCTCCGTTGCCTGGACCTCCATTGCCTGGACCTCCGTTGCCTGGACCTCCATTGCCTCGACCTCCGTTGCCTGGACCTCCGTTGCCTGGACCTCCATTGCCTCGA